AGTATTTGGATGGCAGGGGCATGCAAGGCGTGATGAATGAGTGACATAATAGTGCTGGGGGGGGGGGGTCACGAAAGGGGGAGTGGAGGGAAGAGGAAGGGAATGGGCGATAGAGAAGAGGTGAGACTTGAAAGGAACGGAAGGAGGTTAAAGGGGGGGGGGGGTAGGGCGCTTAATGTACAGGGATGGCATTGAGGCTATGGTGCAGTGTCGAGTCTATGGTGCAGTGTTGGGTCTATGGTGCAGTGTTGGGTCTATGGTGCAGTGTTGGGTCTATGGTGCAGTGTTGGGTCTATGGTGCAGTGTTGGGTCTATGGGTAGTGTTGGGTCTATGGTGCAGTGTCGAGTCTATGGCGCAGTGCTGCTCAATGTAAGGGAAGCCGATTCCAGTGGAGGGATGTAACCAGAGATGGGCCGTGCCGGCTATCATTGGCACCGCCGCTGCTAATCAATAACAACACTTGTCCCAACAGTCTGCTAAAGGCTACACGGGGGTGATTTAGCTTTGTAGCCCCGCAAAGAGTAGGAGGGAATTAGGATGTATGCGCCGCATCGCGATCTGACAAGCGCGTGAGATGACCACTTGGCATCGACCCACCGTGTGATTCTGTATCGACCCAGACACGCACGGCGTGTTTCCACTGTCACGTGGGACGACCGTTCTCTCGGATGAGACCTTCCGTATTGGATGAAGCTTTGCGCTTCACCAGGATTATCTGTCCGCCTCCGATGCAACGACTCCTGCCATGCTTACTGTGCCGGATGACGCTCGTGCGGGGCTTGTAGCATGATGTTGTTATAACCCTGGGGCCCTAAATAAGCAACGCATGCATATTAAAACACGCTTTTTTTACTTTCATAGTAAAGTAAATGTGTTTTTTCATTTGCTACACAGTCGGGTAATACGACAAATTGCTAACCTTGAACACCCAGTCGTTCATAAAAGTTTAAGGTAGTAGAGTACTATTGTACGTGCAGAATCACTGAACCGGAATTGATGGCTTGAAAGCATTTAGCGTGGGGCCCTTGAAAGTGCGGGCAGTAGCTACTGCACGTGTAGTAGCTACTGCACGTGTAGTAGCTACTGCACGTGTAGTAGCTACTGCACGTGTAGTAGCTACTGCACGTGTAGTAGCTACTGCACGTGTAGTAGCTACTGCACGTGTAGTAGCTACTGCACGTGTAGTAGCTACTGCACGTGTAGTAGCTACTGCACGTGTGTAGTAGCTACTGCACGTGTGTAGTAGCTACTGCACGTGTGTAGTAGCTACTGCACGTGTGTAGTAGCTACTGCACGTGTGTAGTAGCTACTGCACGTGTGTAGTAGCTACTGCACGTGTGTAGTAGCTACTGCACGTGTGTAGTAGCTACTGCACGTGTGTAGTAGCTACTAATCCTACTACTACTGCTGCTACTCCTGTTACTCCTGCTGCGACGACTTCTGCTGCTGCTGTTGCTGCTGCTGCTGCTGCTACTCTTGCTGCTGCCTGCGTGTCGAGGCGGTGTTGTGATTTCAGTGGCCGCGTCCTGGCCCCTTTTGGTGCACAAACGAAGCCGTAGCAGCAACCGTGCTAACCTGCGATTAGCATGGTTGGCTACGTATGGTGCGAAAGAAGTTCAACGTACATTACATAAATACGATGGACAGAGGGAGAGCGAGAGAAAGGGAGCAAGAGATAAAGACAGAGAGAGATGGAGGGAAAGAAAGACAAAGGGAGAGGAAGAAATGGAGAGAGGCACAAAAATACAATTAAAGGGAGATGGAGGGAGAGAAAATGAGAGGGAGAACGATCGAGAGAGAGTGAGAGAAAATGTGAAATTGGGAGATCTCAACACAATGTGGAATGTGGAAAAAGTGGGTTTTTTTCCAATTATTTTTGCAGCCAAAGACATTTATTATTATAATGATATATTTAATCTGATTTCAAATGTCCCGAGCAGGAGTTACTCAGTGTGCAGGTGCAAATTTACATTTGCATCTTAATTTCCAGAGTCGGCAGAGGTGTGAATTAGAATGCGGAATGAGTTATGTTTGAAATGCATGGGAGAAGGCCGATGGGGTTTAACACTCGCCCACAGGGTGGTGGTTATAGAGGTCACGGAGGTGGTGATGGTGGTGTTGGTGCTGCTGGAGGTGGTGATGGTGGTGTTGGTGCTGCTGGAGGTGGTGGAGGTGGTGTTGGTGCTGCTGGTGGAGGTGGAGGTGGTGGTGTTGGTGCTGCTGGTGGAGGTGGAGGTGGTGGTGTTGGTGCTGGTGGAGGTGGTGATGGTGGTGTTGGTGCTGCTGGTGGAGGTGGTGCTGCTGGAGGTAGTGCTGGTGGAGGTGGTGTTGGTGCTGCTGGTGGAGGTGGTGATGGTGGTGTTGGTGCTGCTGGTGGAGGTGGAGGTGGTGGTGTTGGTGCTGGTGGAGGTGGTGATGGTGGTGTTGGTGCTGCTGGTGGAGGTGGTGCTGCTGGAGGTAGTGCTGCTGGAGGTGGTGTTGGTGCTGCTGGTGGAGGTGGTGGAGGTGGTGGTGTTGGTGCTGGTGGACGTGGTGATGGTGGTGTTGGTGCTGCTGGTGGAGGTGGTGATGGTGGTGTTGGTGCTGCTGGAGGTGGTGGAGGTGGTGTTGGTGCTGCTGGTGGAGGTGGTGGTGGTGTTGGTGCTGCTGGAGGTGGTGGAGTTGGTGGAGTTGGTGGAGGTGGTGGTGCTGGTGGAGGTGGTGTTGGTGCTGCTGGTGGAGGTGGTGATGGTGGTGTTGGTGCTGGTGGAGGTGGTGTTGGTGGTGCTGGTGGAGGTGGTGTTGGTGCTGCTGGTGGAGGTGGTGATGGTAGTGTTGGTGGTGCTGGTGGAGGTGGTGGAGGTGGTGATGGTGCTGCTGGGGGTGGTGGAGGTGGTGATGGTGCTGCTGGAGGTGGTGGAGGTGGTGATGGTGGTGCTGGTGGAGGTGGTGGAGGTGGTGGAGGTGGTGTTGGTGGTGCTGGTGGAGGTGGTGATGGTGGTGTTGGTGCTGCTGGAGGTGGTGCGCGCTGGTGGAAGTGGTGGTAGTGGAGGTGATGAAATTGGTGGAGGTGGTGGGCAGCAGCGGTGTAACGGTGAGGTCCCTGCACTCCAAACCCAGCGACCGGAGTTCAATTTCCGATTTATCTGAAGCGGTCTTGGGTCTCCCCGAGGTCGGCTCTGCCTCATGACTACCTGGTGTGGTGCGTAAACACCGCACCGCTAGGGAGACAAAGGTGGTCGTGTGCCGTGCCGGCCTTCGTAGGTGCTACCCACTAATAGCACTTGCCCCAAGTCTGTTGGAGGCGATATGGGGAATATTTTTTCATTGTAGATGGCGTGTGGTTTGTGTGTGAGAGAGGGTCTGTCAACCCCTCCAACTGAACACTTGGGTGATACCAAGAGGCAAGGTGGAGGCCTGGGGTGGATAGGCATCTGACATTTTCCGCATGAACCATCGTCACGCGAACTCCGCTCATCCTCGTAGCAGCGGCAGCAGCAGCGGTGACTTTCGGCTGCTGGCCATCGAACAAAGATGGCGGTCACCGCATCATCACCCGGCGATTTCAGAGGCGCTTCTGCGGCCGTCTGGAACGCTCTTCCTTCCGATATGAGGAAGCCACTGAGCTATGCAATTTTAAATCTATAGTGAAAACTAATTTCTGTAGAACTACTTTTTGTGTTTAGTTTGTCTTTATCCCGAACCTCCAATTAGTGCGGTTGGCTACGTGCGGTGCGAAAGAAGTTCAACACACGTGCGTATTGCGGCCATCGAAGGCTCGTTGCTGGCAGTAGGATGTCACGGGACAGACCCAGGTGCTATGGGTTGACTGGCAGATGCGTCGCCTCTGCACGGTGCCAATTCATCCACTCGCACAAAGACAGATCCCCGGTATAACCTTGGCAGACTGTTGGGGCAAGTGCTGTTAGCGAGCACCGATGAAGGCCAGCACGGCACACGAGGGGGTGGGTATCCAGCACCACGCCCGGCCGCCTTTGTCTCTCCAGTGGCGATGTTTACACCGCGCCAGGTACTCATTTGAGGCCGAGTCGACCTAGGGGAGTCCCAGGACCGGTTCAGATAATTGTCACTTATGTTGGCATTGAGAGGAAGTCGATCTCGGGTCTCTGGGTTCGTAGCGCGGCGTGCTAACCGCTACGCTACCACTCCCCACACAACAACCGCCATTTGCCACCAAGTGGTGATGACGTCACCACGGTGCTTGTGCCAGGCTACGTGCATGTTAAGGCCATGTGAAGTATCGAACGCACGCCGGTAGGAGGTCACGGGATAGACCCAGGTGCCATGGGTCGACTGACTGAGATGACTGGTCGATGCACCAGCAGGGATTCTTACTGTACCAACTTGCTGTGTTTTAGCCGGCCAGCGCTCCGCTCGTTGTTGTGAGCGTCGCTCCTCCGCCCTTCGTTGTTGCTGGAGGGCGACTGCCTCCAACTGCCCAGTAGCTGCGTCCTTCACGAGTCACCTCCACGAGCCCAATATTGACAAGTCCACTCAGCTCCACGTCCTCTTGTATCACGTCACTCCATCTCTTCTCCAGACCGTGCCGCATCAGTTTAGCCTCCGCTATCTCGTCGAACAGAAGCTGTTTAGGCATGCGGTGACTAGGCATGCGAGCTACATGACCCAGCCACACTCACTCACTGACTCGCACTCGCTCACGCGGCCGATGCGGCGGTGCCCCTATGCCCCCTCATTGGGCCGTGCCGGCCGTGGTTCACATTCACCGGCACTGACGGAGACCGCGGCGGCGATTACGCCCCTGGAACGTGCGACACGCGTGGCCACCTGGCGTGCCGGGGGGCGTCCCCTCAATCTCCACCCGGGGAGATGGGGGACGCTGCCCCCCCATCATCCCAGGAGTGGAGTGACCATGGCTGATGATGACCGTGGTGGTGGTCTTCATAGGGAGGTGCTACTCGCTAACAGCACTTGCCCCAACAGTCTGTTCAGGGGATCTTTGTCTTTGGTGTTGCCCCCCTCTGCCCCTCCCCCCTAGAAGTGGCGGCTGCAGCGCGGGGGCAGCACGGCCTCCCTGCGCAGCAGCACCATGAGGAGCAGCCTCTTCCAGCTGATGATCCACACCCTCGACCCCCTCGGAGATGGTACAGGCCCCCTGCCCCCCCCTCACTCCCCTCCATCTCTTTCCCCCTCTCACCCTCTCCTCCGTTCTGTTTCATCTAGACCTCGACACTGCCACCCTGCCCATAAACTCAGCACTGTGCCCCTATCGTGCCATTACTCACCTGCGTGATCATTGCATTCATTCCACATCTGTCCATTCGTCTCCACCACAGTTAACCCACCCCCCACACCCACGCGCCGCAGTGTATCGTAGTGGTAGTAGTGTCTAGCCGTGTGTATCTATCGTATGTTGAACTTCTTTGGTGTTGTCCGTAGCGAACCGTGCGAAGCAGCTCCTCAAGAAATCAGCTGGTCTCTCCAAAGTGATTCTTAGCCTGCGGTGCGAGATGATGCCCTTTCCGGGTGCGAGATGTGGCCAGATTTTTCTAGAAGGTAAATCGTGGAAACGCAAACTAAGCACGGGCACGTCCGTAAAACTTCTTTGTTTCATTAAAGCCCTGTCTTTATTAACATTGTTTTTTACGATTGAGAAGTAAAAGGGTGCAAGGCTGCAGCAAAGGTTAAGAATCGCCAATCCAAATGATGATTTAAGAGTACATCAAAGCTGCCGGTGGCTTCCTAATATCGGAAGTGGCGTTCCAGACGGCCGCAGAAGCGCGTCTGGAAGCGCCGCACGACGCCGCCTTTGTTCGACCGCCGCGAGGACGAGCGGAGGGGGGGGGAGTGTCGTATGAGGACGATGGCTCCGAGCTCCTTGGCCGAGATGGGCGGCGAGGCGGTATTGTGGTGACGAGCGAAATGCTCGTCAGCGGCATGCGTCGGGAGAGCGAAAAAAAATTCCGAAATGAAGAAAGAGAATTATCTTTGAGAGACGTGTCGAGGTTTACAAAAATCACCAAACCCCCCCCCCCAACCCCGGTTCCTTTTTGCGAGAGTCATGGCAGAGTGACGCGGCGGGAGTTATTTTTGGGAAGCCGCCGCTGACCTTTTCCGAGACGCGGCGTTGCAGTGAAGCGCCTCGCACGTGTCGATAATCCCCAGCGGAGGCGTCACTTCAGCTCCCATCTCCCTCCACCTCTCCTCCCTCCCCTCTCTCCCTATCTTCCACTCTCTCTCCCCTTCTAACCCTCCCTCTTCCCCTCTCTTTCTCCCATTCTATCCATCCTCTCTCCCTCCCCCTCTCTTTTTTTTTAAATAGAACAACCTTTCTTTAAAAAAATCCATAAATCAAGAAAGGTATTCAAATCGCTCAAATAAAGAAAAGTAGAATAATTTCTGCAAGCTTGACGCACTCCTTTTGAAAAAATACATTAAAAAGAAACGATAATTTTCGCGTTAATGTTATTCCTTTTTAAGTTATTTCTTTATTATATATTTTTATTATTTCCCTTCTACGTGACTTTACCGAAAGAACCAAGAATATGAATCCCTGCAGTCCCGAAAGCTTTAAATAAAAATGTATTCCTTTATTGTTTTGACCGTCCGTCTGCAACTCCTCTGGGCAACCTTCACTCCAGCAACCGATTTATGAATGTGGATGTTAGAGGGGATTACGTGAAGATGAGAGGATCGTGAAGATGAGAGGATAACAAAGGAGATTAGGGAGATGGTGAGAGTTGAGATAAAAGCTTCGTTCAGGGGCGCCGATTGTGCAGTTGCGGTCGCCACCCACAATCACACACTCGTCGTGCCTCCTCAGGAGGTGCAGAAACGGGATATTCTCCTTGTTGGTCACCGGCGCGTAGACGTTCAGCAGGTGGATGGTGACATCGCCCACCCTGACCGTTACTGCGAGCAGCCTGCCCTTCACCACTTCGGTCTGGGTGATGAGCTCGGGATGAAACCCTTTAGCAAACAGGGTCGCGACTCCACAGGAGGTGTTGTCAAGGTGGCTGTAGAAGGAGTCTCCTCCCCACTCCTTCCTCCAGTAATCCTCGTCCTTGACCGTGAGATGCGTCTCCTGAATGAAGAAGACAGAGGCAGCGTGTTTCCTCGCAAGAGACATTGCGGAAAAACTCCGCACTGCCTCCCTGCACCCGTTCACGTTTAGGGAGGCGATGCACATAGGCATTGGTTTTTCCTTGCTTCCATGTCACTCGGCGTGGCGTCTGGGATTGCGAAAACCACATCTTCGGTGTCTGGCAGCTTTTCTGCTTCCTCCCCTGGTGTGGGAGGTTTCACCGCTTCTTCCGGTTCGAGGTCTGGGAGGGGTTTCTCCTCTGAATTTGACCCTTGCGATCCGGTTTCTTCTGTGTTTTTCCTCTTGCGATTTGTCACTTGAGGCGGCGATGTTGGGGCCACTACCTCAGGTGTAGGAGGCTGCGTGGCTGGCGGGTCCGATGTGGGCTGTTTGGGGCCTTGTTGCAGTGGGGGCTCTTGCTGCTTTGCCCCCTTTACTCTGCCTCCCTCCTCTCCACTCTTTTCTCCGACCTTTGGCATCGTCGGTTTAGGGCAATCTCTTCGGAAGTGCCCCTCTTCTTTGCAAAGATTGCATTTGATGCAATCCTTGGCATAAAACAGTCTATGGGCAATGCCTGCGTAGACGATCACAAACGATCCCTCCTCGTGTTGTCCGGGAGTCAGTAGGACGTGCACCTGCCTCCTGAAAGAAAACGTGTTTCAGGGCGGGGTCTCTGCACCCCAGTGACAGGGCACGTACTTGCGACACGATCGTGCCCAGCTTGGACACGTGCTCCAACATGTCCTTGTCGGATGTAGGGCGGCACGTTCGAAACGACGATTCGCGCCGCCACCGAATCGATGGGTTCCAGTTGGACGTAGAGTCCCCCCACGGTCATCCCCTTCTCGACGGCCGCATCGGCCACCTTTTTCGTCGTCAGGTAGAAGACTCCTTTCCCGCTGATCTTCGAGGCGTGGGAGACGATGCCTAGCAGGACGATGGCGCCCAGGGCCGCGACGTACTCTCCTCGATCGTGACGGAGCTCGAGGCGTAGCAGCGGATGTCGTTCTCGCGCGGCGGAAATATTCGCTGCGCACTTGGGGGGGGTTGGCCTTGGAGCAGAGGCCCGAGTGGGGGGCCTCGTGACTCCGGGCAGATTGGCAGCTGCGGCCTGTGCGTAGGTGGCCATTTTGTTCCTCCTACCCTCAAACGCTGGCTGACTGTGGTGTAGTGCTTCTATACAGAGCTCCCCTCGAGAGTGTAAACTGCGGATCAAGAAGTAATCCTCATTGAAGAAAATAAAGAAAGTGAGAAAATGTATTTAATAAATTAGATGTATTTCTTATTTATTGAAATGAACCTATTGAGAAAAAAAGATTATATAAATAAATAATAAATGGAGATCAAATTGTAAATGTACGTGATGAATAAATAAATAATCTGCACAAGCGTGTAAGCAGCCTAATAGTTAATCATCAACAATTAGGCTGCTTAATCCGCAAAGTCAACAATAGTGTTCAAATTAACGTGTTTGGCTTTAACTCTGTTCACGGCAAATGCCTAGTCTTGGCTCACACAAGAAACAAGTTGTAACAAATCTTAAAAAGTTTGAGAATCGCAAACTGAGATTAACAACATAAGCAGAAGAATACCGGAACAATAAACAAAGTATAAAACGCCTGTAAAGTATGAAAACGATGCTTGAATAAACTATGGGATTGACCACAGCGCCTAAGAAACAACATCGTGTTTCAAAAGGCTGTGCTTCACCCAGAGCTGTTAAGCTTCATAAAGTAAAGAAAAATAGAAAACCACACAAATATGGCTACCTGTGTGTGCAAGAGGCAGAATACTTACTCTTACTGAGAAAAATCTGGAAAGAAATAAAGTAGTTAGAAGTGGGTTTCTAAGTTATAGGATGGAAAACTCGGGAGCTCAAACGAAGCGCGTCTCTCTCCTCTCCCCCCTCTCTCCCCCCTCTCCCTGTCTTCCCCCTCCCGCCTCTTCCCATCGGCGCCCGCCAAAGTGGTCTGATTTTCTGCTTTTCCATCCGTGTGAAGGGTACAAAGGTCCCCTGGATAGCCTGTAGCAGGTTGTTGGGGCAAGTGCTGTTGGCCAGTAACAACGGCGCCTACAAAGGCCGGCACTGTGGCACACACACAGGGGGTGGGTGGCTCGTACCACGCCCGCCCGGCCGCCTTTGTCTCCCCAGTGGCGATGTTTACTACACACTGCACCGGGTATTCACTTGAGGCCGAGTCGACCTAGAGGAGGCCCGGAACCGGTTCAGAGATGTTATTGGTGCGTTGCACGGCATCCCTAGAATTAGGATGTGAATATTTACTAACACTGGAGGAATCCGATGAGCTATAAAGCTTTCACAGATTTCCAGTCGGAGCACGGGGTCCGAACATTACAACACCACCACCACCACCACAATACAAAAACACGGTCGGAGTGCAAAGTATAGGAAAGGTGAACAAACATTTCCACGCGACGATGATGAGTCACTTTGTTGAGCTATCAATTTGGGATAGCCAGGTCGTTGCTGAGAGAGAAGCTAATAGCTCCGTGGGGCAACCGCAATAACAACATCATCATACTTTCATAGTTTTAGAGCACCTCCGAGAAGCATGGTTGGCTAAGTACGGTGCGAAAGAAGTTCAACGTACCTACACACAGAGCAGTCGATCATCGGTGTTTGACCATACTTCACCACTTTGGGCAGTACTGGTGGGTCCGTGTTCGGTGCTGTGGGGAGCGGTAGTGTGGTGGTTATCGCTGCGTTACGAATCCGGCGACCCCGGGTTCGATTCCCGCCCACGGCCAACACCGGTGACGATTATCTAAACCGGTCCTGGGCCTCCCCTAGGTCGACTCGGCCTCAAACGAGTACCTGGTGCGATGTGTAAACATCGCCACGAGGGATACAAAGGCGGCCGGGCGTGGTGTTGGCCACCCACATCCTCGTGTGCTGTGCCGGCCTTAATTGGTGCTCGCTAACATCACTTGCCCCTACAGCCTGTTGCAGGCTACACGGGGGATCTTTGTTTTTTGGTGCTGGCGTCAGCGTCTCGGACTAGGGCTGAACGATTTGGGGAACATTTCTAATTGCGATTT